TGTGACATATTTCATGGCTCGGAGCTGACAGCGACCTCTTAAGACGAGCAGACGGTAGTCAGAGCAGACGGTAGTCAGAGCAGACGGTAGTCAGAGCAGACGGTAGGCAGTGCAGACGGTAGGCAGAGCAGACGGTAGGCAGACGGTAGGCAGGGCAGACGGTAGGCAGAGTAGACGGTAGGCAGTGCAGACGGTAGGCAGAGCAGACGGTAGGCAGAGCAGACGGTAGGCAGTGCAGACGGTAGGCAGGGCAGACGGTAGGCAGTGCAGACGGTAGGCAGGGCAGACGGTAGGCAGGGCAGACGGTAGGCAGGGCAGACGGTAGGTAGGGCAGACGGTAGGCAGTGCAGACGGTAGGCAGAGCAGACGGTAGGCAGAGCAGACGGTAGGCAGGGCAGACGGTAGGCAGGGCAGACGGTAGGTAGGGCAGACGGTAGGCAGACGGTAGGCAGAGCAGACGGTAGGCAGAGCAGACGGTAGGCAGAGCAGACGGTAGGCTGACGATAGGCAGACGGTAGGCAGAGCAGACGGTAGGCAGACGGTAGGCAGGGCAGACGGTAGGCAGACGGTAGGCAGACGGTAGGCAGAGCAGACGGTAGGCAGAGCAGACGGTAGTCAGAGCAGACGGTAGGCAGAGCAGACGGTAGGCAGACGGTAGGCAGAGCAGACGGTAGGCAGGGCAGACGGTAGGCAGAGCAGACGGTAGGCAGAGCAGACGGTAGGCAGACGGTAGGCAGAGCAGACGGTAGGCAGACGGTAGGCAGAGCAGACGGTAGGCAGAGCAGACGGTAGGCAGAGCAGACGGAGTCAGAGCAGACGGTAGGCAGACGGTAGGCAGACGGTAGACAGGGCAGACGGTAGGCAGGGCAGACGGTAGGCAGACGGTAGGCAGAGCAGACGGAGTCAGAGCAGACGGTAGGCAGACGGTAGGCAGGGCAGACGGTAGGTAGGGCAGACGGTAGGCAGAGCAGACGGTAGGCAGAGCAGACGGTAGGCAGGGCAGACGGTAGGCAGAGCAGACGGAGTCAGAGCAGACGGTAGGCAGACGGTAGGCAGAGCAGACGGAGTCAGAGCAGACGGTAGGCAGACGGTAGGCAGAGCAGACGGAGTCAGAGCAGACGGTAGGCAGACGGTGGGCAGAGCAGACGGTAGACGGTAGGCAGAGTAGACGGTAGGCAGACGGTAGGCAGGGCAGACGGTAGACGGTAGGCAGAGTAGACGGTAGACGGTAGGCAGGGCAGACGGTAGGCAGGGCAGACGGTAGGCAGACGGTAGGCAGAGCAGACGGAGTCAGAGCAGACGGTAGGCAGACGGTAGGCAGACGGTAGGCAGGGCAAACGGTAGGCAGGGCAGACGGTAGGCAGAGCAGACGGTAGGCAGAGCAGACGGTAGGCAGGGCAGACGGTAGGCAGAGCAGACGGAGTCAGAGCAGACGGTAGGCAGACGGTAGGCAGAGCAGACGGTAGGCAGAGCAGACGGAGTCAAGCAGACGGTAGGCAGACGGTAGGCAGGGCAGACGGTAGGCAGAGCAGACGGTAGGCAGGGCAGACGGAGTCAGAGCAGACGGTAGGCAGACGGTAGGCAGACGGTAGGCAGGGCAGACGGTAGGCAGACGGTAGGCAGAGCAGACGGTAGGCAGACGGTAGGCAGAGCAGACGGAGTCAGAGCAGACGGTAGGCAGACGGTAGGCAGAGCATACGGTAGGCAGAGCATACGGTAGGCAGGGCAGACGGTAGGCAGGGCAGACGGTAGGCAGAGCAGACGGTAGGCAGAGCAGACGGTAGACGGTAGACAGACGGTAATGTTCAAGGACAATGTGAGCTTTGGCGAGTTCGTTCTGGGCTGGCTGGAACTGTCACGCAACCCTTGACAGATGCCGCATGAGATGTCACATGACAGATGTCGCATGACGGATGCTGCATGACAAAGTGCGCACGACAGATTCTGTAAACCTTATATCGCGTGGCATTGTTCTTTTTCCTGACCTTCGCCTTTACTTATCTCCTTCTGACCTTCACATTTAGTTATCTCCTCCTGAACGTCACCTTTAGTTATCTCCTTTTGACCTTCACCTTTAGTTATCTCCTTCTGACCTTCACATTTAGTTATCTCCTTCTGACCTTCACCTTTAGTTATCTCTTGACCTTCACCTTTAGTTATCCCTTCCTGTGTTTGCAAATATTCCGGTGTATCTGTCACGAGTCGTGTCCATCAATCTCAACCGATTAAGTTAATTAATTAACCACCGTTAAAAATCTAATTAAGGGAAGCAATCAACTAGATCTACATTATCTTCTGGTGGCGCGGGATTCAATTACAGACAGGCAAGGAATCCACTTTCCCTGGCAACATCCGGCTGGCAGATAAACACGGACGTCAAGTGCTTCTATTGTTAGGCGGTCTTCTTGAGTTTCAGCTCTCGAACATTTTGTCCAGGATAATTTAGGGAGCTTCAAATAACCAGTAAATAGGACCAATAATCTATTGGACCAAAAAAGCCAACAAATTGGATCGATAATCTAAAATATTAAGGGACGGAGTGGTCTAGCGGTAGAGAGCTAACCCGTAAGTCTCGAGTTCGAATCCGGGTTCAGCAAACCGTCCCTAAGTCCACCCAACTCTGAGAAAGTAAACAAGTGAACTCTACTTCACTTGCCCTATGGACCGTCAGGTTTGAAAAGGGAACTTTACTTTAGATTTAAACTAAAATATTGGACCAATAAGCCAACAAAGTGGACCAATAAGACCAGCAACAGGTAGGAACAGCAACAGATAGGACCACCAACACACAGGACCACCAACATATAGGACCACCAACACACAGGACCACCAACAGATAGGACCACCAACAGATAGGACCACCAACAGATAGGACCACCAACAGACAGGACCACCAACAGACAGGACCACCAACAGACAGGACCACCAACAGACAGGACCACCAACAGATAGGACCACCAACAGATAGGACCACCAACAGACAAGACCATCAAATGACAGGACCACCAACAGATAGGACCACCAACAGATGGGACCATCAATAGGACCACCAACAGACAGGACAACCAACAGACAGGACAACCAACAGACAGGACCACCAACAGACAGGACCACCAACAGATAGGACCACCAACAGACAGGACCACCAACAGACAAGACCATCAAATGACAGGACCACCAACAGATAGGACCACCAACAGATGGGACCATCAATAGGACCACCAACAGACAGGACAACCAACAGACAGGACAACCAACAGACAGGACAACCAACAGACAGGACAACCAACAGACAGGACAACCAACAGACAGGACCACCAACAGACAGGACCACCAACAGATAGGACCACCAACAGACAGGACCACCAACAGATAGGACCACCAAAGATAGGACCACCAACAGGCAGGACCACCAATAGGACCACCAACAGAGAGGACCACCAACATATAGGACCACCAACAGACAGGACCACCAACAGTTAGGACCACCAACAGATGGGACCATCAACAGACAGGACCACCAACAGATAGGACCACCAACAGACATGACCACCAATGGACCACCTTCAGATAAGACCACCAACAGACAGGACCACCTTCAGATAGGACCACCAACAGACAGGACCACCAACAGGCAGGACCACCAAAGATAGGACCACCAACAGATAGCCACGCCCCTGAGCAGTCATCATGGAGGTCTGAGCATTGTCTCGTATGCCCTGACACGGTGATCTCTAACTGGAGTTTATTGCCGCCATTTTTTTCGTCCAATTGTGCCAACAACGATTTTAAGCACCCCCACCCCCACATTTTCATCCCCCCCCCCACCTCCCGTCATTCTCCCACCCCTCACATCGGATGATTAGAGCGTGTTTCTCGGGAAGAAAGTCATGCACGCGACTGTGGTGTAAGGGGAGGGGGTGGGGAGTGGGGTTGGGAGGGGAGGGGTGAGCTATTTCAGTTGACTCTTGCACACAGGTTTACATGCACGTAGAAATTACAGTTCGTTGACCTGTGTTTATGAACCCGCAAGGTCAACACGGTGCCGTCGTCAGGAGGTCAAGGTCAAGTTGGTGTCATTATGTCAAGGTCATCTTGATGTCAACGTACCGAGGGCAAGGTCAGCCAGTTATCATCGTGCTGATGTCAAGGTCAATCTTGTGTTATTATGCAGATATCACGGTTTAGCTTGGTGCCAAGGTCACATCACACTAAAAGCTAGTTGATACTAATGAAACTATCATAATTACACTAATTACATTAGGTTATACCAAATGGCGATGATAATGTAATTTTTATCTTAAATTTTAACTAACCCGTCAAAATAATTTATTTCTTGATTAGCTTTTAATTATGCACGTTTTTACAATACACCAACGGATTCCTCCGGGTATAAAACCCCACAAATTATCGTCATTAACTTTTCGTGGAATCCGATTAGTTCACGAATGAGGTTTTTTGTAAAAAATAAAATAATTTTTCTGCACCAAAAATTTGGTGAAAAACTTTTCTCATTAAAATTTTCACGTTCGAGCAATGAATCATCGCTCGGTAGGTTTGTCAGGCTCACTTCCGGCTTAAATAAAAAACGAAAGTTCGTACTTCCGGATTAAAGAGATTTTTATTTCCCGTTGTGGAAATCCGTGATAGATCTCTCGACTAGTAGCCCGAATGTCTCGAGTTCAGAACTTGGACATTAATATGTAACATGTAGGACATCATGAGTCCACCCAGCTCTAATGTGTACCTGACAGGTTAGGGAAAGTAAAACTGACCATACCATTCTTTCATACACCGTGGTCACAGAAACTAATAAACTCTGCTTCAACTGCTCTACTGACAGGTTCCAAAGGGTAACGCAACACTAATTGCTAAACTAAAAATTCTTTTACGTGCAAAATAAAACATAAGTTGAAAGGCTTGTAGGTCCGAAAGTTCGTACTCCTAATAAAACAAAACGAAAGTTTGTACTTCTTAAAAAACAAAATGAAAGTTCTTACTTCCGCTTGCGTCATCCACGTGCACGACCAGCACCGCAATGAACGCTGGGAGCCAGAGACCACCGGCCAGCAGGAGGGCCGCCAGGGGCTGGGCTGACAGTAACCATGGCAACTTGTTGGAACCACCGATGATGCCTGAAACTTTGGTGACGATTTCTCCAAACTCGGTTTTCTCCATCTGTCAAAGTAGGGGACATTAGTTGGGGACATTTGTTGGGGACATTTGATGGGGGACATTTATTGGGGGAGATTTGTTGGGGGACATTTGTTGGTGGACATATGTTGGGGAAATTTGGTGGGGGACATTTGTTGGGGACATTTGTTGGGGGACATAATTGGGGGACATTTGTTGGGGGACATTAGAGGGGGACATGTGTTGGTGGACATTTGTTGAACGACATTAGTGGAGGGACATTTGGTGGGGACATTTGATGGGGGACATTAGTGTGGGACATTTGGTGGGGGAGATTTGTTGGGGAGATTTGTTGGTGAGATTTGTTAGGGGGCGTTTGTTAGTGTACATTTGGGGGGGGGGGGGGTCGTTAGAAGACAATTGTTGTATTTTGGAGGACATTTGTTGGATGTTATGTTACTAAAATGTGCTTTTTGCTTGAACAAAATGTCTCACAGATAAACCGATAGTTATTTTACTGGTGTCAGTGTTTCAATTAGGTTTAGGGCTATTGTTGGTTTTAATGATTAGATCTCTAGAAAATATTACTCTCATTTCTGTAGCACAATCTCTCAGATGATTAAGTGTTATTTTGCAGTTATAATTACCCTATTACATCAGAAACTGTGCACTTCATTTGGTGGGTAAAGCTAGGTTAATAAACAAATATTGTAGTTTTTTTTGTAATTTATATTTTCAAAAAAACTTACTTCGGTGAAAATCAAGCAAAGAAAGAGAATATTTATTTATTTATTTATTTAACTAAACTCTCAAATTACACCCAACAACTAGGCAAAGATATAATTTCCTCTGAAGCAATTTTTTGTAACAGCTAAACAAACAGAAACCTTTGCCCATAACCATACAGCAAGATCCATGGTGTGTTCATTTTCTGATACAAATATAACTGTTAGCTGTTAGCTTCAGTAAGATATGGAAATAAACCCTCCCCCCCCCCCCCACCCCGACTCCTCCCCCCCCCCCCCACACACCCACACACCCCCAAAATGTGTTGTTTATCCAACATTAACCGTAAAGTTGTACAGGCTAAGCTAGAAATAACACTACTAAAAAGACGAAAGAGCTGTAGGTTTAAGGGGACGAAAAGATTAATGAATTGTTTATACATTTTTAATAACGTGCGTTGCTTTAAAGACGATATTCTTGGAGAATCCCAGGGGTAGTGTAAAGATCGTTTATAGCGTCTGTATGAAGAGCCCCCCCCCCCCCCCACACACACATAATCCCAACCCACCCCCATCTAACCGCCCGCATCCCTTAGCACTATGTTAAGTAGATCGTAGTTTCAACGTATCTAATGCTGAAGCTCGTCCAGCACATACAATACAGTCGTCTGTCATCTGTCAATCGTCCAACACAGACTTTTTCACCGCGTCTGTCATGTCCATCATCCAACATAGAGTCGTCCCACGTCTGTCATTGGTCCATCATCCAACATAGAATTGGCCACACGTCTGTCATGTCCATCATCCAACATAGAGTCGTCCCACGTCTGTCAATGGTCCATCATCCAACATAGAATTGGCCACACGTCTGTCATTGGTCCATCATCCAACATAGAATTGGCCACACGTCTGTCATGTCTATCATCCAACATAGAGTCGTCCCACGTCTATCATTTGTCCAACTGTGCTTGTTTCAATAACTTGATTTAGTCACACGATTTCGTCAAAAACTCTATGACGTAACGAGCACGTGACTTACCCCAATGCCATGCGCAGACAGTGATGGCGGGATGTCCAGTTCCGGTCCGTCTGCCGGGTTGAGAAAAGAATCCCATCCGACCTTGATCTGCAGACGACAGAAGGTCAGGATCTTGCCATTGGTGACGTCTGCGGAGATAGAAACATGGGGGTTATGTGTCACATTTTTGTCACATTTAATGACACAATTTTGTGTCACCCATCAAACAGGAGGTCACCACAGCAGTCTAAAGATGCATCTACCCGGCACCCACAAGAAGATGTGCTACAGTTTTAGGCTTCAAGCTACACACCTTACACGCGGGCCTGTGACGTCACGTAACAAACCTCTACATGTGTGGTCTAACAACGCATGTGTAGTAATTAACATTTTAAACAGCACAAGCCTCGTTAATTATCCTTAATTTCTCACACCTTGCACATAACTAATCCAATTTAAATTTACTAATTAGTTTCGTTAATTTATAATTAATTTTTTTTTATTTCGTTGCCACATTTTAGACAGTTGTGCTAGCAGTGTTGTTTTTTGGTTTTTTTTTTTTTTGGAGCGAAATATTCTTGTGATCATGGCGCTAGTTCATCACACTGTTACGTGCTGTGTGTAGGCTAGGACTGTATCCCATCTTTTTACGGAGTGGTTGGTACACAACCCAGACTACCATACCAGACACCATCCAACAACAACGTAAGTGGATGTACCCCAACCCCATCACTTAGGATTTAGCCCAAAACAGCTCTGTCCGTTACATGCTGCCCAGGTCGATGGAATCAATACAAGAAGTCTGGTACTTACAGCTAGCCGGAGCCAAAATTGTCCTCTACTAAAAGCTAGCCGGAGCCAAAATTGTTTTCTACTTACAGCTAGCCGGAGCCAAAATTGTCTGGTACTTAGAGGTAGCCGGAGCCAAAATTCTCTAGTACTTAAAGCTAACCGGAGCCAAAATTGTCCGCTACTAAAAGCTAGCTGGAGCCAAAATTGTCTGGTACTTAAAGCTAACCGGAGCCAAAATTGTCTCGTACTTACAGCTAGCCGGAGTCAAAATTGTCCGCTAATAAAAGCTAGATGGAGACAAGATTGTCTGCTACTTACAGCTAGCCGGAGCCACCTTCTGTTTACCCAAATTTTGATTGTGTGACCAATACCCATCTTTAATCAATCTGTTGTAATACATTTATAACAAAACTCAAACAATTCTCCAAAGTTTTCCAGCGTGCCCAACATTCAGGTCCAAGCAACCAATGTGTCCTACACTCAAGGCTTTCTAAATGCTGGCTCAATGTGTTTTATCATTAGTGTTTCTTCCAGACTTTTTCCTCCGGGGGGGGGGGGGAGCACTTGAAATATTTTCGGGCGCGGGTAGACTTTTTTCGGGGGAGCGTCAAACCCCCCCCCCCCCCCCCCCCGAAAAAACAAAAACATGCAGCAATAATATCTGAAAACAAATCAGTCACCTCGACAAAACCTGTAAAACCTGGGTACTTATTTCAAAAGTTAAGTGACACCCCCCCCCTCCCCATCGGCTTGCCACAAACACACAATGAATTTGTTCGACTACACGTAAATGTGGGAGGGAACATCCACATTAATTCTGCCCCTCCCCCACCCCCTCACCAAAATAGTTCCCACCCACAACATGTGTGAGATGCCAGGCCACCCACTAACCTCTGGCACAAAAGTTGTGTGAACAAGTTGCAGCAACATGACCTGATTCATGATAGAGCACCTACTACGCGAAGAGACAACAATTTTTTAGGCCACCCAAATAACTCCGGCACAAAAGTTGTGTGAACAAGTTGCAGATACATCAGCTGGTTAGTGCCACAAAAACCTCGTTTCTTTTGTCAGTGTAATCTAATTAATTAAACCAGTTAATTAATTAGCTGTCCGTGAAAGTATTCTATCAGATTGATCAGCCTCTGGGTGTGTGATCTAGAGATGGAAGACCCCCCTTGTGTTGCTAGAACGTCTGTTAGGACCGTGACTGGCTTTGCGAGAGTGTCCGACAAAGGCTGACCAGACACTATGGTCAGTCGCCAGACCGAAATTATTGGATATTAAACAACAAAGGGAAGATAACCAATATGGACGCCAACTTTGTGAGGTCGACTATCGTCTCAATAAAAACATTTTCATATGACCATATTCTCTGTTGATAGATTATTTGAATGATTGGTTTATTGATTGATTAATTAAATTATTGGTTTCGTTGATTGATTATTCGAATTATTGTTAACACCTTTATGGTGCTCAATTTTATAATTTTAAGATGTAGAATTTTTATAGTTTAGTGCTAGGATTTATATATATATATATATATATATATATATATATATATATATATATATATATATATATATATATGCAGATAATAATTCTTTTAAAAAAGGTAAATAAACAAGTTAGAACATAGTTACAGAGGTGTGCTTAAACTCTTACACTCTACACTCACACACCCAACCCTCACACTGAACACACTTCACAAACCCCACCCTCCCACTGTACACACTTCACACACCCAACCCTCACATCCTATACACCTCACACTTTTAGCAACTTAATCTATTTCCTTATCACAACAACCAAACACCCCCCCCCCCCCCCAACACAACAAAGGAACAGCCGCATCGCCCACACAAACACAACAATTATTTCTAGCCCAGTAGCAACAAGGGGAGTTAACCTAGAAGGGGCAGACGACTTGGATTAACTACTTCCCTCGCTCTCTTTCAGTGGCTGAATCAAACGTAATGACTTAATCAAACTTAATGACCACATTGACCTTTGCCACATTGTCTTTAAGTTTCCATCACAGACTCTGTGAGGCACGACAATGCCATCCCTCCCCCACCCCCACCCCCCACAACACCACATGCACTCTAAGGCTGAGCACGGAAAACTGTTTAACCACAATTGTTGGCAACTGTTTTGTGTTGTGGTTAAATAGTTGTAGCGGCCATTTTGTGGTGCTACTACTAAAATTGTTGAATCAACCATTTTGTGGTGCTACTACTAAAATTGTTGAATCAACCATTTTGTGGTGCTACTACTAAAATTGTTGAACCTACCATTTTGTGGTGCTACTACTAAAATTGTTGAACCTACCATTTTGTGGTGCTACTACTAAAATTGTTGAACCTACCATTTTGTGGTGCTACTTCTAAAATTGTTGAACCTACTATTTTGTGGTGCTACTACTAAAATTGTTGAACCTACCATTTTGTGGTGCTACTACTAAAATTGTTGAACCTACCATTTTGTGGTGCTACTTCTAAAATTGTTGAACCTACCATTTTGTGGTGCTACTACTAAAATTGTTGAACCAACCATTTTGTGGTGCTACTACTAAAATTGTTGAACCAGCCATTTTGTGGTGCTACTACTAAAATTGTTGGACCAACCATTTAGTGGTGCTACTACTAAAATTGTTGGACCAACCATTTAGTGGTGCTACTACTAAAACTGTTGTTTGACACCACACACACGACCCCTCCACCACACACACGACCCCTCCACCACACACACTGACCCCCACATATCTGATCTAATCCTGACCCACACCTTCCCCTCCCCGACCCCCACACCTCACCCACCGACCCCCACTTATCTCATCTAATCCTGACCCCCATTCTCCAATCTATCTCACACCATCTTATTCTCGCTAAGACCGTGCAATCTATCAATCTCTCCCTACCCCACCCTACCCCCTCCCTACCCCCACCCTACCCCTCCCTACCCCCACTCCCAAGGTCCACCACTCTGCTATATTGCCTCTGTCATCTCCAGAAAAGGGAGCCAGGATCCCAGATCTGACCTCCCTCCCCCCCCCCCCCCACCCCCACCCCCTGCTATATATCCTAATCCTAAAAGCTGACGGACGCTGATAAATGGCATGCCTGCAATGCCAGAGAAACGTCTGGAAAAAACCTGGAGACGAGGCAAGTGCTTTGGTCAGTGATGGATTAAGTTGTATGTGACGTCAGCTTCACCCGCCTAAAAAAACTGGCCAATCCACCTGACAAAAATAGATCACAATTTTTATGGGTTATTTTAAATCTAGAAAATTATCTTTTCTCAAAAGTCGATTCATTTAGTTTCAAGTTTTGAAAGGCATTCTATTCCTTTAATGCTAAAAAGAAGGAAAAAAAGCGTTCTCATTTTAAACGTAAAGCTCCAGAAATTAAATAGCCTAAGATTGCGGCTAAGAATCTCTGCGTGGCCAGGACAATTTGTGTTCGAGTAAGTCAATGTCTTGTACAAACGTTAAAATAATTACATTTTTTTTTAACTTTAGAAAATGAATTTTTTTGCAGCATTGATAGAAATATGAGTAGATGTAGATCAAAAAGATCATCTAAAAGATCTAGATCTAGTTGATGTAGTTGATGAGATGTGTGGGCTAGTTAAACAGAGACGGGAGATGGGACAGTACCGACGCATGTTAGGCCGACATTACTAAATGTGATTGGCTGGGGTCAGTTTTAGCTCCAAAATGTTCTAGATTTCTAAAAACACGAAACTGATCTAATACAGAAACGAAATTCGATTTTTTTATCATCAACGACCGAAAGAGAATATTAAAATGACAGACCGCACGCTACCCTAAAACCGTAATGGAATTTGTTGGTTTGTTCGCGGAGAAAAGGTTTTAGTGTATGTGAATCAAGAACTCAGACTCTAGTGTTAAGCATACGTAGGGCCTACATAACAGTACGTGCACAACTCTACACACCAAACGGGGCGCACCGAATGGGATGCACCTAGAGGTACCAATTTAGTGAACGCATCTACCAGCAGTGTCTAGGCATATGCACTGTGTGGGATGAGCACTATCGTTGATAAGTACTCAACAAGAGGGTACATCTTTTTGTACTAGGCTTTATTACTGGGGTTTATTACTGGGATTTATTACTGGGGTTTATTACTGGGATTTATTACTGGGATTAAAACAAAAGCTGAAGTATGGGTGGGTGAATTGAGAGTGGGTGGGCTTGGTTGTGTGGGTGGTGGTTGAGTTGGCGGTTAGGGGTCAGGCGAATTGGGTGAATGGATGGGGTAATTGGGTGAATGGGGTGGTTGGGTCGGGTGGTTGGGCTGATGGGGTGGTTAGAGTGGTTGAGTGTGTGGGTGG